CTGGTTGACCCATATCTCTACTGACGGTGCCCGGAAGTCGGGGCGTGCAAGCTACGCGAATCAATTCCTAGCCCACGCCTTCTTACTTTTACTGACAAACAGTATACTAAATAGCACAGTGAAGAAAGCTGTTGTGTTAACGATCATCCAGTATAGCAGCAACTGAAGTGCAGCCCCGTTCAAGTAATTCACAGTCCACAGATCTCGCTTAAGTAGATCATATGAGAACTGAGACTTGTCAATAGCCACTACTAGCCGACTAGCCAACACGGTCAGCTTGAATAGGAAGTGAACCCAAAGCACTTGAACGCTGGCGTATATCAAGTCCAGTATGTAGTATGTAGACAGAAGAACGGCCAAGTTGCGGAGAGCCCAGGGCCTGAGCGATCGCGACTCTCGAATAAAGATCCACTTATGAAGGAGTACACGCTCCCTGCATATAAACCATCCGCTGTTTGTGATCGCGCCCAATAAGCGTATGCAACAAAGCTCGTGCTTTGTGGGTCCTCGTCGAACAAATCGAAGCTTGTGGTTCCAATAGATGCATTTCTTGGGCTGTCGTTTGGCCCACTCTGAGAAACACGCATCACCGACGATGTGCATGCAGGGAAGCAGCTGGATTGGGCGACAGCCTTGGGCGGAGGGTGGGATCGAAGTGTCGTATGGTTCTTTGCAGATGATGCACACATCGTCTGGGGCGACGGAGACGTCGGCTCGAATGTTGTAATTCAGTCTCCACAAAAGGTCTCGGAAGAATGTTTGCGGCCTGACGGACATTATGGTGTGGAGGCTTGGCTGTCCTGTGACTGGATTGAAGCATTCACTTTAGACCTATATGTAATCATCTCTTCACAATGTCGTTTGCACTCGTGCATTGGCGCCTGTCCAGAGACAAAGCGGAACTTATTGTACAAACGATGTGCGTGGAGAAACATCGACAAGATAGATATCAGCCGCAATCCCTAGCAATCAATATTGATGTGTGAACTGTCTTGGGCCAAATGACCATCAGATGTACGTGCCGTTTTCGTGGCCGCGATATCAGGAAGAAAGTCGTGGTCATAGCACGCTGTGGCGCAGCCATGAAGTCAAGAGCCGTGGTGAAAGATGGCAAATCCGACAGAATCCTGAGTGCTGCACGCGGTTGGCACTAAAGCGGAAAGGCTAGTTAGTAAGCGGGGTAGCTGCAGGAGGGGCCTAGGCCCAAGCTCCTGCCGCGCCCGCCAGCTCTCCAGGTACTCTCTCCCACGGCGCTCCCTCCATGTTAATAGCACCCGCCACACGAGCACTACAACCACTCCGACCACTCATGACGAGCGCATATTATCTCGCAAGACCTTTGTCCTCCCGATCACGAAGCGCCTCACCCAAAATGGCCGACACACTGTCTCTCGACGAGATCCCCACCCTCACCTTGCTCTACAAGCTCAAGAAGATCGTGCCAAGCGACGACAAGGGCCGGTCCACATACAACGCGTCGGCTACCCTCAACGACAAGATCAGCGTCATCCGACAAGACATCACAACCCTTGCCATCGACGCCATCGTCAACGCCGCGAATACTTCCCTCCTAGGTGGTGGAGGCGTAGACGGTGCGATCCATCGCGCAGCTGGGCCCGGCTTATTAGAAGAGTGCGAGACGCTGGACGGTTGCCAGACAGGCAGTGCCAAGATCACAGATGGCTACGAACTACCTAGCAAGAAGGTCATCCACGCCGTTGGGCCGATATACTGGAAGGAGGGTTCGCGTTCGGCGGAACTTCTATCAGGCTGCTACCGCACGAGCTTGGAGCTAGCAGTCGAGAACGGCTGCAAGAGCATCGCATTCTCAGCGCTGAGCACTGGCGTCTACGGCTATCCCAGCGGTGAGGCCAGCACAGTCGCGCTCGAGACGGTGCGCAAGTTCCTTGAAGAAGAGGGCAAGGCGGACAAGCTTGACCGCGTCATATTCTGCAATTTCCTCCAGAAAGACGAGGACGCGTACTTCAAGAACATCCCGTAAGTTTCAGGCGTCATTGCCCTCACTTTATACACTGACGTTTACCTAGTGACTACTTCCCGCCGGTCGATTCTGACCCCAAAGCGCAAGAGGAACAGTCCACCGAACCCTCCGAACTCGCATCGCAACTTCCAGACGCCCCGACGGCCGACCCTAAAGATACTGACGATGCTCAACAGCCATCTCCGAAGAAGCAGAAGACCACCGACACCGACGATGACTTTGTCGTGGTCGAGAAAGATGACATCAAGGAGGACAAGGCGAAGCCTGAGCTATGAGATCATCACACGATAATGCGATAATGACGGCGAAAGTTATGGGTTTTTTATCGGCTTATGCCAGTACACTTTGTGATTTGGGCATACTGGGCGTTCGGTCGTTGGGCATGGGAGGCTTATACCCTGGATACGAGTCATGAACGAGCCACATCAATTCTCATTAATTGAATGACATACACGCTCAGTCGTGTTCTGCTCTTGGAAATCCGCGCTGTGCCTTGATCTAGTCGCAGAATAACCTCTCCCGATACCATTCACTGACAGATTCGTTCAGATTACTTCAGCTGTGTGTGCTTGCACAGGGTGATGCTCAGTTATTTCACCGGAAGACACAGATTGCAGCCAAAGTCAGTCAAAACTCTGTCCATCAAGATTTTACATCTACTAGAACTCGCATCACGACCGACTTCTCGCAGAAACAATCACTACAACCCACAGTCGACAAAACGTTCCCGACATAAACCATGCCGCACTTCCTTCAACCACTCGTAGCCGTCCCATTAATCCCCGCTTACGAATGCAACAGAGCTTCCGTCGAAGAAGACGACGCATGCTACATCTGCCGCGAGCCATTCTCTATCGACGACTGCTCGCCCCTCCAGATCACTCCGTGTGGCCACATCGTGGGGGACAAGTGTTTGTACGAGTGGTTGAAACGACAGCTTGACAAATGCCCATATTGGAATCATCGTCTTCCCTTGCGTCCCGCCCATGAGAGCTCCATAATTCGCACTCTGGTCGGTTCGCGTGTTGGCTCGGTGTGGTTCCACATCTTCGAGCGTTACATACTTGACTTGCCATACTTGTCTATCCGCGAGGAACTTCGATGCGTTATGCAACATCCGGATTGGTATGTCAATGGCAGCGTTCAGAATTTCCACATCATCTTGCTGGTAATGCGCAATGTTGTCACTTCCTGGAATATCGGACTTGTAATGTTGCTTTTCTGGCGCTCAACTGGCGATAGGCAGTCTAGTCGAGACCCTATATTGCTAGTGGGGAACATTTTGGTGGTGGCCATCACTGTGGTCAACATCTTGACTTTGCCGACTTTGGTAGCTATACTTGTTGACTGGTTTAAGAGGCGATCTAGAGCTAGAGCGGCAAGGACTCGACTGCGATGATGGTAAAATTCACGCCGAAACTCAACACTACCGTAGTTCTTTGGTTCTCTGATACAGTGCGGTCGAGCCAGTGTTAGACCAACAGTTCCAAATTGCAATATAGGAACAGCCGTCAAGGGTGCTAGAAAGAGTTCCTAGTCATTCATCATGCTTTGATATGCCACACTGCCAATATGACGCATAAGTGCACTCAATCAGTAAAGCGTCACTTCAGACTCTCAATTACTAAACTTCCCGATATCAGACTCTGGGCGTCGACCTGAAGTCCTGCTCCATTTCCTCAACTGGCCAATGCGTGTCCTGGGGAGGAATATTGTTGCGATAAACCGGAGAAGAAGGGCGCGGTCCATAAGTTGACCCACCGGGCCCTGCAGCTAGACGCGGCGCATCGACGATATCACAACCTTGAGTCGGTGTTGACGCAAAACTGTCATTACTTCGCGCATTATCGCTGACCAATGCTGTACGGGGCGTACTAGGGGTCAGCGCCTGCGAATCACGTTGGACATCGGCTTTGGCTTCGACATCCGTTTCATTTTTCTCGGATGTGGCAGAAGCACGCCTGTGGAAGCACTGCCTCACAGTGGTAACAACCCATATGAGGATAGGTATGCCGACCAGAACGCCAATGACGCATCCAGCAATGATGCCGTTTGTCTTAGCGTCGTTGGGGTCGGGGCGATGGGTTTCATCATATGAGTACGTCGGTGTGGATGCAGGCACGGTAGCTTCAATGTACGGATATGATGGAGAAGGCGTCCAAGCTGGTGACGTTGGTACGGGTGCGATCGCTGGATCGGACCAGGCAGGTTGTGTCCACGCTGATTCGGTCCATGCGGGTTCGGTCCATGCTGGCGCTGAGGGCGTCCACTCCCACTGACGCGCCTGGAGGTCGTTATCGGTATTAGATGCGAATGCTGTACCTGTGGTCATGGATGTGGCCATTACCATAACTTTTGTTGGCTCTGTGATGGGCAGAGAAGGGCGAACCGGCGCTGCGGAGACGATCGATACAATCATGAGAGCGGAAGTGAGAAAGGGTAACAACATACCTGTTGCAGATGCAAACATATAGAAGGTATATCCACAACTTCTACCTAGATGCTCACTACTGTGACGTTCGATCCAGCGAACTGTGAAGATTCTGATCGTATGTTTGCTGTACTGTGTGACCGTTACCCCGCGGTCCGCTCAATGCAATGGTCAGTTCGCGCTTTGAAGGATCTGCTCCAGGGCTGCGCTTGGATTTTTCAATCAGTACGGTGATAGTGTTGTCGGTATATAGGGCGCGTTGTGAGATGACATCGCTAAGTTTGGCGCTGGCGGTGATACGTAGATAGTTGATGGCATGTCACGGCACTGGCGACTCATCATTAATGCAGTATACGCTTCGACAAGATAAGCTACAGCACTAATCTATGAGCTTCTCGTATAGTAGATATTTAGTAGTGCTTTCCGGATTCGTGTCACACCGAAGCCGTGTTGATAGGTACACGCGCCACATACTCGCCCTTGCAGAGCTCCGCATAACAGATCTGCGTTAACCGTGCTGAGACAATAAGCTTGAGTGTATGTCTTCGGGGCAAGAACAAACTTCGCTCATGTCATCCGAACGTATTTGACCGGCCCAACGTACGCGTGTCTGCCACGAAGAACGTAGTACAGTATAGCAAAGAGAACGACCATCCCATATCCCAATACTGCCCAGTTCATATCTGTAATTGTTGGCCGAGGCCCAACAGGGAAGAAACAGAAGACCCAAGCAAACAGCAGGAACAGTACAGCGATAATGTTGATCGGTAATCCAAGTCTTCCCAGGTCGAACTTGGACGGCAGAAGCGGTTCACCTCTTATGCGCTTCAGGGCAACGCACGAGATCGTGATCAGGTACGACGTTAGCATCGAAGCGACACCAAGGGAGATCACCTGCATGAATGCGACAGTGGAGCCAAGGTTGATACATGACAGAATCACGACGAAAACAACCGTTATGTAGGTCGAGTTGATCGGTACTTGGCGCTTCGTTGATACCTACTCGCTGTCAGTTCTCGTTTGAAGTAATAGCCATGGCAAAGCCGGCTTTTGACGAACCTTGCTGAAGACATGCGCAAATGGGACGCCATTATCACGAGCGAAGGCAAATACCTGGCGTGAACTTGTTGCCATGATAGCAACGCAAGCGAAAATCGCAACGACCAACATCAAAACCGTCAGCGCAGTCGCGCCGCCTACGGACTTGGTTGTGTCGACGAAAACTTGAATGAAAGGCGTGCCAAGTGGTGTCGTAAGTACAGAGACTGTATCGGTGACGCAGAAGCAGAAGGTGATTGCCATGATCCAGCCGAGCAACCCGTTCCCGAGCCACGTCCACATCATAGCGCGCGGGATCACATGTGCAGCATCGCGAACCTCCTCCGCCATGTGTGCTCCCGCTTCAACGCCAACGAAGGAGCTGGTAGCGCTCGTAAGGCCAAGAATGACTGCGAGCGGAATATTCCCCCACATCATATTGTCCTCGAAGACCGTGAAGACATCGCTGGAAGAGTGGCTTCTATCGCTCATGACCCAGAGTGGAATTACGACAGCGAAGAATCCAGCAACGTGCAGTATGACGACGCCTCCTTCTATTAATGGTAGATGGCGAGAGAGGTATGTGTTGAACGCCAAGCATATGGCCAGGACAGCCCAGATGAGGAGCGTTCCGTGCCACGCCTTCGGAATGTACGACGGATTGTTCAAGATGACGAGACCCTGGATCTGTTTTCCGGAAAGATACGAAACTGTTGCTACACCGGTCTGCCAGCCCAGAACCCCGAGCCAACCTACCAGATAGCTGAGAAACTTCTGGCAGCTTGGAGGTGCGAACTCTGATACCCAGTGGTACTGTGCGCCAGCCGTTGGTGCCCTGCTGAAAGTGAGTAAGTATCATTGGATGTCATTAAGCTGTACCCACATCGATGCCATCTCAGCCAACGAAGCGACAACGAAGCCGAACCCGATCATGACGATGAAGTATCCCCAGATAAGCCCTGCTGTTCCGCCGTTGGCAAGAGCAAAGACAGATGTGGCAAGGATAGTCTCCCAAGTCGAAAGAAGAACTATGCAGAATCCTAGAATGGTGATAGAACGGAAGTTTCGCCGGGTTTCCTGCGTCTTTCCCATGCGGTGCATGTCATGGGCGTCCGCTGTGGTTGCATCCTTCTCGGCCACGTTGTGATCCGGGCTATGATCGTTGAATATATCTTGAGGTTCTCCGATGTGTGCTTCCGCAAATTTGCTCGACATGATCGTGCTGGAGGACTTTTGCGGGAATGAGACGCAGAGGCAAGTAGCATGTCGCCATCTCGTGCGTAGACAAAGGTGTTCTTATGCCTGAGAGGTGATGCGGTTGTATCCTAGTCGACTTACGCCCTGCATATGTATATGGTAGCTCAAAGAACTCAATACCTGCGCCTCGCTGTAAAGACGGTTTCGCGTACCGATGCTGCAGTATTGATTAAGCAGCTTGCGACCCAGCGCTCGCCATTGGCAGACGGCTGGGCGTACAGCAAGCAGCGATAAGTTTTGTCTTACGGTGGATATCGCACTGCCGAAAGCATATGGATGATGCCGTTTGTGCTGACAGGTAGATATAGCCAGGCCTTACGATGCAGGCAATCTGCCATCGGAGAGATCATTGGTAGGTAATATGCTATGATCTGGCTATCTGCAACGTGTCGCACATGTGGAGATCTAGACGCTCATACTCATCGGTCAAGAACTCAAGGATCCGCAGCGAGACAATGTTTCGAAAGTCGTGATAGAGTCGAGGCCGTCTGTGCTGTGTGAGAGCGTGACTGAGCTCTGGAGATGATTAGAAGGCAGGTGCCCCTGCGCCAACCAAGAAAGGCTAGCTCACGACGCGTTCTTAGCGTCTTCGGGGTCCAAATGTCTCCAGGGTCTTCGGCATCTTCAATCGCGTCGCTCTCACGCAGCACCTGGAAACCTTCTCAATCCACAACACATTGCCGTCGAATTGGATGCCTTCTTCTGAATCGCGACATCATGCTCGACCTGCCTCACTCGCATGCTTAGAGTGTCGGCGTACCCACCTCAAGTGCGACGGAACCCAACCTATATGCGGGCGCTGCCAGACTCGTGGTTTTGCATGCACCTACAAGCGTTCTGGACGAGGTCGCCGACGTGGTATAACGCGCGCAGATACTGATGAGCAGCCGACACTGTCTCACACCCCACCCGTTTCTTCTGGCCCGGTCGCGCAACCCGCTGTTGCGCAAGCGCTGTCCTGTACGTCCTCTGCAGCGCAATGGCTCCCTCTCGACGATGCAGCCGTTCCACCAAACTCGGCCCTACTGCAGCGTCGAATATCAACCACTCCGCCAGATCAGAATGCCGAGTGGGCTGACGATGAGCAACTGGTGAATCTTTACTATCTAAACTTCCACGCGAGTCACCCAATCCTTCTCCCAAGGGACATGTATTGGCAACATGGATACCCTCGTTATCTGAAAGCGGTAGTTCATCTCATCGGTGGTCGCTATTCACATGCTGTCTCACTGGACGAATTGCGCGAGAACGTGGCACGAGAGTTCGCTCAAAGCGAAGGAAACACAGCCGAAATGGTACAAGCAGGACTTCTCAACACTATCGCCCTGTTCGCGGAAAACGCTACGGATCAAGGGCAGAAGATGCTTGATTCCACGATCGAACTGGCTTTGCGACTCGGCATGCACCAGCGGAGCTTTGCTTCAACGCATGCTGGTGATCTGACCGTGCTAGAAGAAAGCATGCGGAGAACCTGGTACGAGTTGTACGTGGTTGACGGCTGCATCGCGGCATTGCAGCGAAAATCGACATTCAAAACCAACACAGTAAACGCCGACGTGCTTTTACCATGCGACGACTTTACTTACGAAGCCGGAATGTGCTTTATGCCAGCAACTATGGCCGAATTCCACGGCAACGTCTTTGCCGAAGAGGAAAAGATATTTTCTTCCTTCTGCTACCGTATAGAAGCCGTACGTCTTCTTGGGCGAGTCTTGACTATTACTGGAAAGCATGGGGTGGATCGAGATCTGGTGCAGGCCGTTGACAATGCGCTTGCTGCATTCCTATACCACTTACCACGCTCCAAAAGCGAAGCGGAGATCTCAAACACCTTCGGTGATCTGGACGAACTCATGTTCCAAGCGCACACTATCATCCAATGGAGCACCATTCTCGTGCATTATCCCAGAGGCGATCTGATATCTTCTGACCTATTAACACAAGATGTACTTGGAGCCAACTGTACCAAGCTCCTTTGTCCCTGCAATCGACAACATATCCACTCCGTCAAAGCCATCGAAGCCTCCAAGACCCTAGCTATGTTAGCGGCGCTGCGTACTCCCACTCAAAAGCACACACCATTGTTTGTGTATCCACTGGCTCTCGCTGCTGTCGTTCAGCTTTCCATTGGTGCGATGCACGACAAAAGCCCTCGGCGTTGCTTGGACCAGCACGCTGACCGAGTGAAGCTGTTACTCGGGGTACTCAAGTCTATGAGCCGCCAATGGTCGGCTGCTGGAATTGTGCTACGCACCCTGAAAAGGGTAGCATCCGCAGTATTCCGTAGTCCCTCCGTCCATTCACCGTCCAGTATGGTCGCTCCTCTAGCCACATCAATCGATAACGATGCTTTCCCCGACTTCGATCTCCAGGATTTGTATGGACTTGTGGGCCTGGATAACAATACGTTAGGTATATGATAGGCCCGATTAGGCCTTCAAGGTCTGCTTCAACCGTTCGGTCACGTCAACCAAGAAAAAAACCCGGACAGGCCTGCAGCCTACATCAACATAAAAACCTACAAGATAGGTGACCTGGCGTCGACGCAGGCTCTGAACCTGTTCAGTCTTTTTCTTGTAGGAGGTGCAGTCGAAAATGCAAGGACGCAACAATGGCTCCATCTGCGCGAACCGAATTGGAAATGATCGTTGTATTGTGTACACGATCTCTAGAATCGTTCCCGTCGACATAGCTCTTGGACCTGCCTAGAGGTGCTCATCGCCGCTCATTCCCCGTCTCCCATGACCCTTCCTTCATCTTGATCGGAAGATGCATCAAAAGCTCACCACTTGGTGTCGGTAATGGGAGTCTACCAGCGCGTATGTTTATCTGCAAGGACGGATGCAGCAGCTTCGGCGCGTTCAGACTCGCATCGCGTTCTTCTCGCAAGCTCCGAAAATCGTCCTCCGCATGGTTCGCGAGATGTCTGTTCTTCTCCTTGTGATCACGTACAGTCATCCAAGGCACGGCTTCGCATCGTTGCGGACACGCTGGATAGTCATGCCCTGTCCAAATCTTGGTTTCGTCCGGTAGTTTCAGTAGCTTTTGTGCTGAAGCATACAAACTCTTTGCACTCCCGCCTGGAAAATCACATCGTGCAGTGCCGATGTCAGCATGAAAGATTGAGTCGCCGCAGAACACGTTGCCTTACAAAGTGTTAGTGTTGAGCACAAATACAGATCGCTATAGCGAGCACTTACTGCCGACCTGGTAACCGATATGATCTGGGGTATGACCTGGAAGATGAAGGACCTTCACCCTCAAACTCCCAACCTCGAACATCTCATCATCTTCGAAAAGATGATCGAACGCGTTCTCGTACTCAACGGCTGGAACACCATATCTCACTGCAAAACGCTTCTGGACCTCGCGAATTCGTTTTCCGATGCAAATGGGCGGTTTGAAACTTTGCCGCGATGAGAGACGCTGCTGGAGGTAAGAAGCTGCTGTCAAGTGATCGGCATGTGCGTGCGTTTCCAGTATTCTCTCGATGTGATATCCACCCTCCAAGACTGTAGCCAATAGATAATCAGCTGTCTGGGTACTGATTGTCTGGGTAGGCGCGTCAAAGTCGAGTACAGGATCGATAATGACGGCTTTCTTGGAAGAAGGGTCTGCTACCACGTATTGCCATGTCCCTGTCTTGTCTTCAAATAAGCTGTGGATTGCTGGCTCGTGGGACCTTATGGTGTGAGTGCTGTAACTTGATTGTTTTCGGGCTTTCCGCGGGATCTGTAAAGTTGGACTGGTTAGATCGGTGACGGTGCGGCCTGCCCAGCTCGCATAGTTCGGTGGGTGTGGCAAGCTGACTTTTCCTCGTGCGATGCATTGGGATATCGTAGGAGTCATTTGAGCAATCGATCGTTGCTGTTGCCTCCAAATGCGGACCTTGGGGGTGTGGTGAGACGAGTTCGGCAATCGCCAAAGCGCCTGGATGCGTCCAGATGAGCGTAAATTCTTCATGGTATAGGATGGGATGGTCAATATTATCCGTGTATCAGCGGCCACTTGTTCATTACCTCCTCCGCTTCGTTCTAAGTATTTATCAGTCTCGGGAAGCTGTTTGTGACTAGGTGGTGCCACCTCCATGCAGGGTTCGGCGTCTATCCCACGACGACCCCGACATGACTCGCTCTTGGTCCCCGAATGAAGCGCTTTTGATCGGCGACACGACAATGGCCTTTGGGATGAATAATCTACTCCCTTACTATTTTCGAAGCTCTTGAAGAGTCGTTTCGTCCACCATTCACAACCCGCAAAATCGCAAGGAATCACATCACAACAGACCTACAGTTATTCGAGCGAAAAACAAGGACTGTTCATATTGCTTCTTCAACTTAGCATTAATCGATACCTCCACACGACCATCAGCAGCTAAGAAATAGCAGTCTACTTGGTCGGAATGTATACTTCGTGCCATCGCTTCACATCGACGTCGCTCCGAACTACGCTTACTAGACAAAGTCGGTCAGCTGTTCGAGGCCTCGCGACTGGCTCACCTGCGACCAGTGTATCAAAACATCACAAGATCGTTGTCATTGGAAACGGTTCAGCTGGTGTCGCAGTAAGCCATCAACTGTTACGAAAAGGACGCTTTGAAAAGGACGACTTTGCTGTTGTCGATCCGGGCACTTGGCACCATTACCAACCGGGCTGGACATTGGTGGGCGGCGGCTTGAGCAGCAAACTACAATTCAAAAGGCCGATGAGCGAACTTGTCGCATCTGGGACAACGTTCTACAATGACCACGTGGTGGGCATTCACCCGCAAGACAACTATTTGTCGCTGGGAGACGGTGACAAAGTCCAGTATGACCATCTCGTCATCGCTCCAGGCATCAAAGTCGATTACAACAGCATCAAAGGCCTCAGCGAAGCAATGGCCAACCCTGATAGCCTTGTAGCGTCTATATACAGCTATCACCATTGCGACAGGGTGTTTCAAAACATTCAGCGTCTCAAGAAGGGCTCGGCCATCTTCACCCAGCCTTCCGGTGTAGTGAAATGCGCAGGCGCACCTCAAAAGATCATGTGGCTCGCAATGGATCACTGGAGACGAGCAGGCCTCTACAGCAACGATCCCGAGAAAAGCACCATCAAGATGACTTTCGCGACTGGTCTGCCCACTATGTTTGGCGTACCGAAGTACAGCGTCAAACTGAACGAAATGCGAGAAGAGAGAGGAGTCACCGGCCTCTTCGAACATAACCTCATCGATATTAACGGGAATACTGCGACATTCGCACGACCGAACGGCGAACAGCCCGTACAGCGACAGTTTGACTTCCTTCATGTTGCGCCCCGAAATGTACCGCACGATTTTGTGAAAGAGAGCGGGTTGGGCAACGACGCGGGATTCGTAGACGTGGATCAGCACTCTCTCCGGCACAAGAAGTTCAAGAACGTGTGGTCGCTCGGCGATGCGGCGAGTCTGCCAACGTCGAAAACGGTGGCTGCAATCACATCCCAAGCGCCTATTCTCACACAAAACCTCTTGCGTACTATGGATGGCAAGGAGCCAGAGTCCGAATACGATGGCTATACTTCATGTCCGCTTCTGACCGGTAACAAGAAGGTGCTTCTTGCGGAGTTCAAATACGGTGGTATGCCGAAAGAGACGTTCAATACATGGTTTGGGGTTGACCAGGCTGTCCCGAGACGCGCATTCTATCATCTGAAGAAAGACTTCTTTCCTTGGGTTTATGACCGATATCACGTGAAGGGCCGGTGGGGTGGCCCAAGTGGCTGGATCAGGTAGCTTTAGATAAGTGTTGAAAGATGTTGCGATGTGTCTGTTCGAAGGATTGATCCCCTGCATAGAAGTGTTAGATAACGTGTATCCATTGGCAGGGCTACATTGACAATAGCGCGAAGTCGGCGCAAGGACTAACTTTGGCCTGTGTATCATTTTGCTCGCTGGTGTTGATGATTCTACTGCTATCATTGAATTGTGCATGGGCGGTTCTTACGAAGAACAAGTGGATGTGTAAAATGTTGATGTTATGGTCTGGACGGCAGACGCGTGTTGGCGGAACAGCGCACTAAGGACAAAGGTAGCTTAGCGCATATCATGACGTAGGCGTGTGGCTGGCAGGGCGCGTTTGAACTTTGACAATAGGGCGTGCAACAAGGAGATATGTATAACCAGCGCCCAAGCCACTTTTCCCTCTGCTACTGTCAGCCCAAATCACGTACGCGTTACATCCCACTCCGACTACTGCAATCGGTTCCGATTACCTAGCACCATGACTACGAAGACCTCTCGGGTCTCTTGCCGGACTTTCGTCGGTCATGCATTTGCCATTTCGAAGGCCTGTCGCTCTTATCACGGCATGTCCGAGTCTTGGAGACGAGGAACAGTCGGCACATGGCGCTAAACCTCTGGTGCAACGTTGCTTCTGTTGTGCAGGACCTCGAACTGGATTTCCCTTGGCCGCTCCGCACGAGAGATGAGGCGCGACGACACCCTCACTACCCTACGCCACGGCGATGGACCAGCTGGAGGCTGATACAAGAGACATGTTTGCATATCAATACCCTCTTATCTCACGCCCACATTGATATGCACGTTGCGAGCCCAACCAGGCCGAGCATGACTCCCTTCCAAGACGTGGAGGTGCCGTTCCACCCGAACATACCTTGGCTGCCAAGGCGCGCCTCCGCACCCATGGGACATCTCCACCTACCAAGTTCCTGCGCAAACGCCTCCCACGGGCCTGAATGTTGGTATCAGTAGCTGCAGACGGGTATCATGCCCGTAGTGCTACCCTGGCACGCGACATGTTATCATTGAGGCGTCGAGTCGTTGCTGGCCGTGGCTGCGTGGTGACGCGCGCCGCGACTCTGATCTAAGATCAGAAGCGCAGGGGTGTGCGACGACATCATTAGAAGAGAGAGTTGTGCCCAGGCTGGGTTCTCTCACTGCACCTCTGCCGGGCTCGTCTCTTTGCCCTCTCTAGGCAGTCTCTCATATCGCTTTACTCCTCCACCTCGTCTCACTGAGCGCATCGGTACCATTTGCCCACCATGAACGTCATCCGCAAAGCTGTGCGGGCGATGTTCCCTCCGCCTCGCGTGGCGCCTGACGGTCGCGCGGAATGGCCCTCTCGAACACCATATGTGCTTGCTTCCATGGGCGGAGCGATGGGATTCGGAAATTTGTTACGTTTCCCTTCCCAGGTCTTCAACAACAACGGCATTCAATGGTTTATACCCTACCTCATGGCTGTCTGCCTCCTCGCGATCCCGGTGCTTATCTTGGAAGTGGCTATTGGACAGGCCTACCGCAGCGGCTGTGTCATCGGTTACAACGGTCTTGATCGACGCTTTACCGGCGTTGGGTTCGGAATGGTCTGCGTTGGTTACGCTGTGGCCATCTACTACATTCCCATTCTATCCTGGGTCATGGTGTACTTCCGCAGCTCATTCCGGTCCGCAAACGACTTCCCTTGGAAAGATAACCCACAGGAGTACTTCAGTCATGTCGTCAACGAAGTTCCCGCCATTCCCGCGGTCTACAGCGATGATGGCAGTCGAGTCCTTCAGTATGCCTCATATCCTGGTGTGAACCTCGATGGCGAGCTTGTCGGCTGGGTACTCTTTTCTTGGTTCATCGTTTGGATCTGTTTGTACAAAGGCATCGCCATTACCGCTCGCGTCGTCTACATTACCATCGTCTTGCCCATTATCATGACCGTTATCCTTGTCGGCCGAGGTGCGTCTCTGCCCAACGCTGGCCGGGGTATCAAACTATACTTTGGGGAGTTCAACGGCGATCAGCTCGCCGCAGGCAAGATCTGGCAAGCTGCAACCAGTCAGGTCTTCTACTCTACCGGTGTCGGTTTTGGCTACTACTCTGCCTACGCCTCGTACAACTCCAAGTTTTCTGATGCTGTCCAAGACGCCATGATGATCTGCAGTGCGAACGCGCTGTTTGAGTCGTTCGCCGCCTTCGCTGTCTTCGGTGTTGTCGGTTACTTGGGCCTGCAGCCTGGTGTTGGTGATCCGGTCGGAACATATACGCTCGGCTTCTACACCCTCCCCAGCGCCATCCAGGAAATGCCTGGTGCTCCATTTTGGTCTGTTCTGTTCTTCCTGACTCTGTTCCTACTTGGTATCAGTTCATCGTACGCGCTGCTCGATGCTATGATCACTACCATTTGCGACACTCACTGGGGAAGGAAGTACAAGCACTCGACCATCGCCACGATCATCACCGTCATCTCAGCCCTGGTATCATTATTTTACTCAACAGGATTCGGTTATGAAGCTACCAATGCTGTTGACGCACAGATCAGCAACATTTCACTCATCTTCGTCGTATGGGCTGAGTGCGTATGCTCTACTTCGTTCTACCGGTTCGTCGACGTCATAGGTCAGGTTGGTGCACCATCCTTCTGGCTGTACCAATGTTCGTACATCGGTGCTCAGATCATCGGCAATGCCATCGCACATACAGTTTCCGACAAGATCGGTGCTGGTGTTGGCTTTGGTGTCTACATCATTGGCACAATCCTTGCTATTCTCGTCGCCAAAGATCCCACAGTTCCGGCTCCTAAATTTTGGGGCCGTAACAAGATCTTGAACCGCGTTTGGTGGGTTGGCCTCTACTCAGTAAGTATACCCTTCTCCAGCGACATATTCACTTGCTAATACTATACAGGGACACCAACTTGCGCGCGACCTCAACTATGTCGTGTGTGTGGGCAAGCAGTGGCGACTACCCGTCTTCTGGGCACCCATCCTTCGATACTTCGCCGCACCTGTGCTCTCGATCATCTTCTGCTTCGCCTACCCCACGTTCTACGCCATCCGCGGCGACCCCCTACAGATCTTCGGTTTCATGGTCGCCCATCTCATCGTCTTAGTCGTCCTCGTCGGCTTCATCATCCCCAAGAGTCTCAATATCTTCGTACCTCCAGAACGCCGCGAGGAAGGAAACAGACAATACGCGCCCCAGACGGTACTCGGAAAGGACGACACAAACATTGTGGGAGGTGTTGCGCCTGGGCAGGAGTACGAAGCCGGCTTGTCAGCGCCGCCAGCTTACGACTCTGACAAAGTGGAGGATAAGAAGTGAGTGGTATATGCAGCGGCATCTGATTCTGGTGGATGTGCGTATGAATGATCCGGCCCATTGCAACGATTACCCAAGCGCCCAACCCAAATATGACAGCCCATATGCATTGATCTCAAGATCACCTCCATTGCGCCAGATTTGCCCATTGCACTTCCATTCTCCGGTTTTGCCTTTCTTCGCCCATGACGCTTGGAAATGTTTGTGTCTCAGGCCACGTTGGAAGCCTACCTGGCTTCGTTATTTACATGTACAACTCGAAATCCAATCATACATACCATTTGTTCAACAGTTCCTACACAGCCACTGAGCTGCTGCACGCCTTTCCCAACCCAGTCGACTGACTGTCATGATGCCGATTATCCGAACCCCCCTCGCTTCTACTTCCGGTGTATCTCATCGATCGAGGCTGAGCTGGCATAATCGTGACCGCGGTTCTTTGGGCCGTGCCGTGCCTCCACGGTCATGCTCGATCCGTCTGCCGTATGCAACGCTATGTGTCAACTCACATGTAACCTCTCTGAAAAGACTCTTCACTCTACTGCACGATGCGGTCCTCGGCATGAAGGGACGGAAAGCCTCACGTCGCATTGGATATGCATAACTCTACTAGCGACTTTCGATCCGACAAGTTGCGATGCTGCGATTCTTTCATCTAATGGCGGTCTTCACAACCAAAGTCGAATCACAGCCGACCATTCATCAGCCTCTGTGACACTAACAGCATGGTCACTAAAGACGATGGATGCATTGCGACAATGTGGCTGAAGCTTGCGGTACGCCGCACTGCAGCTGTTCCCCACGTGTGAATCTGTCGCCTTGAGACGCGGCCAACTCCGGTGTTAGTATCCCCAAGCCACTCCACCAAACGCTGCTGCTCCACCAACCATCAGCATCGCGCCTGTCGGCAGCGGCATACCCGGCGCCCGTCCTTCGCTGTCCGAAGCCTCTACCCCAGTTTCCTCAGCCCCACTCGCGTGACCCGTGCTTGCCGGTGTGGGTGTGGATGTAGCGCCCACGATAGTAGCCATAGCAAACTTCAGCTCTGTCCACGCCCTCAATTCCGATTGCGAAAAAACCGTCGGTGTTCCACTTAGTATAGTATATTTCTCATCGTAATAATCAGCGTCGCACGTGACGGGGACTTCGGTCAGCACACCCTTCCATGTACAAGCACCGTTCCTAGTTATTGCACTCGGCATGGTCATGTGGTACTCCCATGTCTCGGGGCCTTGAAGCATGGTGAAAGGAATGCAACCGTCGATTTCTGCTTCTGGTGTCTCTATTGGTACGGCGGTTTTGTAGAATGACCGCGCCCAGGATATCATGCTGTCGAGAGACGCTTCTCGTGCTGATTCTTCGGCTGGAGCTGTTGAGTAAGGATCAGCGGCGGTCCTAGCAAAGAACGATGTCATGTTACATACACAGGTACGTCGACGAAGGTGTAGGAGTCGGAGTCGTTGTTTCAGGACACTTCTTCTCGTAGGTAGTGGCAGTGTCGTCGGACGACATGAAGGTAAGAGTCGGCTCCATTGGATTCATCAAGTGTAAATACGTGAGATTGTATTGCGCGTTGATTGCGCTCGCCAAAAGCGACGCGATCAAAAGGCTCCTCATTACTACTCTGCTGCTATACGATGCGATGCGATGCGATGCGATGCGGTACAATCATGTGGGCTACA